AAGATTTGTATTAATGTAGCAAGAAATGCGGCTGTTCTCTTTAAACAAAATGAGCCCTGAAGCTGAAGAATAGTGTCCCTACTAAAGTTGAAATAGAAACATACGCCCTTGTTTTTCAGGAAATCCCGCCTCTTGAGACGGTTGCATTAGCAATGCATCTTTAATGTGCGCGTCCATAGCGCTATAACATCGACGAGGCTGTCTGAATTCAGAACAGCAGTCAGGAGCCCCTTTTCTACCCTGATAAGTGTTCTTACAGGAAAAAGGTAATGGGATAGGAGCTACAATACAAGGTATTAAGGATGTGCTCAAGTAAACAGAAAAAGAGGTGATGGGCGCATGGAAAGCAAGACATAAAGAAAAGTAGCATGCACTTGTGGTCTGCTGGTGCAGCGTCTGCACATGTAAAATGTTTAAAATGTGCATGGAGGGTAGTTATGCTTGTGTCCAATAGATAAAACTGCATGCATCAGAACTGATTTTACAGCTGCACATCTGGCTAACACATCTAACTTCATAATATTCATCCTAGTATCTGTGAGCAGTCAATGAAGGACATTGAAGGGTAAAAGAATCAGTTCCTTTTTTCAGGGCACTGTCAGAATTTCTATGGGATTTAGCTCTGGAGACTGAGCGGACATGGAAGGTTTAGCATATGGTTGTTTGGTACTTCTAGAGTAGAAGTCTGACTTTCTTAGATCCTTCCAGTGTGAAATGCAATGCTCCGATGGTCTGATTCCAAAGCTTGAATAAATGGGATGGAAGCATGCTGACCTGCTTGGTGAAGTCCTGGACGATGCTGTGCTCGGAAACCTGGGAGCCGATGGCGAAACGTCTCTTCAGCTGCTTCTCGATGCGGGAGAGCATTTCCTGGTCCTCCTGTGTGGTGAATCCTTCCACTCCTGGTTAGCAGCAAAAAAAATCATTCAGACAAACGTCAAGCTTACAAAAACAAACACCAGGCAGGTGTTCTGAAAGCATCTCTAACCCTCACCAGAGAGGCTGCCGGACAGAGCGGCGTCCAGAGTGGACACCTGGAAGAGCCTCAGGGCTTCGTCCACCTCTTCTTCTCCAGCTACAGGCTGCAGCTTCATCTTAGCCAGAGACTCTGCGACGCGGATGATCGCCTCCAGCTGCCTGTTTTCATTAACCATCCAAGGTGTGAACGCAGGAAATCAAAGAGGAAAAAACATGAGAAGCTTAACAAGAGACGTACCTGACGGTGATGGGGATGGAGGGCCGCTTGTCCGTCTCTCTCTCGTGCTCTCTGGCGCCACTCCTCATCACCACGTAACGATTCTTCAGCTTCTCGGCGGCCGCCGGCGAAAGCCGAGGGCCACATTTACTGCGAGCAAAAAACCCAACAGACTTAACATCCAGAGTCCATGATTAGGGCCCTTACTCAGACACGGCGTACGCTGCACTCACGTTCTGGCGTAGGCGATGTACTTCTTGAAGGTGGCCAGAGAAATCTCGCCCTCCACGCCTTCCGTCTGCGTCTGAGCGCTCAGGTGGACGTTCATGACGTGGCGAGCCAGCGTCTGTAATCAGAGGGCGGTTCTGGTGTCAGAATAAGATCCATTCACGCTTCATGAGATAGACGACATTCATTCAGGTTAGATTAGATACATATCCAGACCGAACGGAACCAAAAGATACCATTTATTGGCAAAACCCGAGTGATCGGGGTGTATTTCTCCACGATGTGTGTTAACTGAACCTGAACCCTATTTTCAAAGTCACTAAAGTTGTTAAATCACCAGAAACAGTAAAAAATAAAAATAAAAAAAAAGGGCGAATAAAATCCTAAAATAATTTGCCGTGCTCACCATGTCCCTCTGGTGGTCATGCTGGTCCTTGATGATGAAGATCATGTCAAAACGGGACAGGATGGTGGGCATGAAGTCGATGTTGTCCTCTCCCTTGGTGTCGTCCCAGCGGCCAAACACAGAGTTGGCGGCGGCGAGCACCGAGCAGCGCGAGTTCAGAGTGGTGGTGATGCCCGCCTTTTGGAGAAGCACAGATGCTTAGGTTACTATGGTAACCCCATTGTGTTTTGTTTTTTTTATAACCCACCCATCCCCTCTATCTGCTAACTACCTTTGCGATGGAGATGGTCTGCTGTTCCATGGCCTCATGGATCGCCACTCTGTCGTCTTCTCTCATCTTGTCAAACTCGTCGATGCATACCACCCCGCCGTCGGCCAGCACCATGGCTCCGCCCTCCATGATGAACCCACGGGTGACCGGGTCCCTCAGCACCGAGGCGGTCAACCCGGCAGCACTGCTGCCTTTGCCTGAGGTGTAAACCTGCAGCGGGAACATGAGTCAGCCTTACATCCCTTAGCCTGAGTGATGCTGCTGCAGCTTCTGCAGACGGTATAAATACCCCGATCGGAGCGCATCTCTCCACAAACTTCAGCAGCTGAGACTTTGCTGTTCCCGGATCTCCCAGCATCAGCAGGTTGATGTCGCCTCTACGGGTCAGACCGTCAGGCAGCCTGAAGAACACAGAACCAAACGGTTAGCAAACAGACGACCTTAATGGTTCAACCAAAGGACATTTGGATCCTCACCTCTTCCTGGAGCCGCCAAACAACAGGCAGGTGATGGCCTTCTTCAGGTCATCGCTGCCGTAGATGGAGGGAGCCAGGGAGCTCGCCAGAGAGTTGTAGACGTTAGGAGAGGCAGCGAGCGCTCTGAGCTCCTCCTCCTCCTGTGGAGACACGGATCCGGTGGCTCCACGACCTGCAGAACACAGAATGTGGAATTTAAACCAAAGACGAGAAAGAAGCTGAACGCCTCGATCTAAGGAGATTCATCTATAGACCAAATAATGTCAGAACACTGAAAAAACTCCAACTGTTTGGTTAATAGATAATATTTTTTCATTGGGATTTTAATGTGAGAAAACAACTGAAAGTGGCAATAATTTATAAAACACCAAAGCTAATTTATTTCTATGAAGCCTAAACAGGAAATCAGACAGGACAGGTTTAGAGCTATCAGGAGGAGCAGGGAATGTATGGAGTCAATTCTGTTCCATTATTGTTGCAAGCAAAAAAAAAACAAAAAACAGTTTTTATAAATAAAAAAAGCAATCTAGAAATGAAAATTTCTTATTAAAAAGTTTTAAATAACTTTTGTTTCTCAGAAAATTGAAAATTTCAAAATGTTTTTATCTATTTTGTATATACTAAAATCTCAAATTTTTTTTCTTACAATTTTTCTTTTACAGATTAGGTTTTCGGAACTGCATTCATTTAAAAATTGAATTTTAGATCACATTCTCTTTGCTACAAGTTGATGTTTGCTCTGGACCAATAAAAATGTGGCTGCTAATGTTCATGCAGACTAATAAAAATGAGTCTTCTGTCCCCGTCACAGAGCAAAGAGAATGATCTAGAAAATGAAATTTAAAATGACTCCTTTTTATCTAAGTGTTTGCAAAGTTCAATTCTGGTTTGCCTTTTTTTAACTAAATTATGTGCTTGCAATAATCCAATAATGGTAGTGACACATGGTGGGGGCAGCAGCATGCTGTGGGAGTGATCTCCTCATGGATGGGAAGATTTAGAAACCACCTAAAAAGTAGTTTCCAGTAACATCTTTCAGGGAAAAAAAGACACCCAGTCTTTATAAAACCATCTACTCTTTCCTGCCATGAGGACAACCCTGTCCTACGTCTTTCACATCCATATCCTCATAAATCAAACATGACATTTGTGAAGGCGATGCACATGCCTGCTCCATCCGTGTCCACCTGAATGCCGACCACTCGCAGATAGGATGAGCGAATCCCGACGCCGACGCCCTTCTCCTTGCCTGCTCTACCCTTCGTTGCAGCAACTTTTTTGATGGAGTAGATCCCCATGATGGTCACCCTGTTACCAGGCACCACGCGGTCGCACAGATACCTGGGAGACGAAGGGAAAACAGGTTGATTCTCTGCTAGAAGAACACAGCGCCATGGATCTGAATGGCTTCAGAGTTTTCTTACCTGTCGCAGTAGAGCTGGAGGTGGCGGGGCATCTCTCCATGGGGCACAGCGTCAGGGGCCTCCTGCAGACGGAGCGTCTGGAAGTCAACGCAAGCGCAGCGGTCCGGGATGATGAAGTAAGGATCCACGGGACACTTGAGCCTGCCGACATTCTCACTGAGTGGGGAACAAAAAAAGGTTAGAAATGGTATGGAGCAGACCTTTTATTTTTTAATTATTGTTGTATTTTGCTATATATATATATATATATATATATATATATATATATATATATATAAAAAATGTTAAAATTTTTCATTTATTTTTAAATAGATTTTTTTTTTCCTGACTTTCTTTTTTTTTTGTTTTTCAGGTTGAGTTTTATGAATTGCATTCATTTCTAGTTACATTTAACAGAATTGTCTTTACTTTTGCAAACTTCATGTTGAGCTGCGATTATATGGAAGGAATTTTGTTCCACTATTTTTGTCAAAGAACACATTTTGTAAACAGAAATTCAAAGAAAGAATAACAAATCCAGAAATTAACCTTTAAAAAGCTTCTTAATAAAAAAAGGGCTTAAGAGTAACTCATAACTGTTTATTCACATTTTATATTTTTAATTATAACTGTTCTAAAATTGCCTTTAAAGAAATTACATTACAACTTTTTATTCCAATTTCTTTTTTCAGATGGTTTATCCCATCTAATTCTGTTTTAAATTACATTCTCTTCACCTCAAACCCAATAGAAATGCCTATTCCTGACCAATAAAAATGTTGACAGCGTCCATAAAGACCAATATGCTCATCACCCCGTAGAAAAGCCCGACCAAAGAATGTGATGCTTAAAATGAGAAAGCAATCAAAAAAAACTCAACCCGAAAAAGTGAAATTTGAAAACAGTAAAACTTGAAAATACAAAATCTGTCAAAATCTTTAAGTAATTAAAAAAAAAAAAAAAAATCTAATAAAATCAGCAAAATTACTCTTCAAACCTTTTTTTTTTTAGAACATTTTTATGTTATTTATGTTACAACATTTTTCAAAGTTTAATTTCTGTTTCACATTTCCGTTTAATATCTTTGCTTGCACCGCCTCCCCACACACTCACCTGTTACACTTGCGCGGCAGAGCGTAGCCCTGCAGCCCCGGAGGGAGCGGGATGTTGTTGAGGACGTTGCGGCAGCCGCGGCACTGCAGACACACCTTGGTGGCTTTCGCTTTGACCGCTGTGGCCGAGATGATGATGCCGTGAACCTTCACCAGACGAGACACCTGCTCCGACTGACACAGGAGGAGTTGATGGTTAAAGGCCTGATCCATTACTTAAATCACCGTTAGTAGTGATGCAGCCATCTAAACATTTATTCGCCTCTTTGGCAAAATATCTGCTTCGTTTATCTATCCAGGAAGATTTTATGACAATAAGGCGTTTATCAAAACCATTTGTGAAAGACGTTTCACTTCCCATCCAGGAAGCTTTTTCAATTCAAATGTCTAGCGTTGACTATAAAGCAACTCAAGGCTATTTCTGACACTTGAATAGAAGAAGCTTCCTGGATGGGAAGCACAATGTCTTCAAACTTGGAAACAAAGTCCAGTGTTTTTTTTTTTTTTTTGGAATGACTATGACCTCGATGACTGAGAATCTTCACTAGCATATTTGTGAAAGGTTTTCTTTAAATCAAGTTTGGGATAATTTTCTCAGACGGAAGTGAAGTACCTTGAGGCTGCGAATGGATGCATGATGCGCGTCGCTCTTTAACATGACCTGGATGTCCTGGACAGTCTCCTCGCCAACAGGCCGGGGACGGGTTACCTCGTCCGCTACCTCCTTAGCAGCTTCCTCCAACTGTGATTCGAAACAGTTTGTGTCAGCGGAAAGAAATTATATCGGTGTGGAAAAGAAAAAGAGGAGGAAGAAGAGAACTAGTGAACTCACCAAGGGCAGGTTTTCATTGGGCTGCTTGTAAAGGCAGTCAGACAAATCTTCATCGAAGCTGGCGAGGTCCTCTACCTCCACCTCCACCCAGTACTCCCCCAAAGTGTAATGCCGCTTCAGCTCATCTCTGATTGAAATCAGGACAAATTAAACCGTGAACATTTTTTTATATCCTCTGTCACACTCTATTGTATTCATCTTCCCATAACTTTAACAACTTTCCCTGTTTCGGCTAATGGGACGATCCCACAGCATTATGCTGCCATCACCATGTGGTAACTGCAGAGATATTGTAGAAATGCCCATATCACCATCATTACATTTCACTGTAGGGACGGAGAGCTCAGATGGATCTACAAATTTAGTTCCCAACAAAGTTTGGGTTTTGAATGACGTAAAGTTGTAGTTTGGCCTCATATGGCCTGGTCTCTCATCTGGCTGTTAGCCTAGAAAACTTTGCACAGGACTTTATGAAAGTGTAGTGAGAAAACAATTTTTTGCAATATCATTTTTTATAAAGTCTAAATTTGAAGAGATTGCAGAGCAATTGTGCTGAAATTGGCCTCATGCATGTGAGAAAGCAGCGACTGCTGCAGCTGGAAACGAAGTGATCAGACCTCAAGGCCCTGATGCAGAAGTCTGAACACCCCCAATAACTTTATAATTCATGTTTTTTAACCAAGAACACTTCGGATATCCCTAACTTTACAAAATAAAAAATATATATACCGTATACAAAGAAACAGACATTTACGAACAATTGATCAGAAAATGTATTTATTATTTATGTTCCACGACCCTACAGCTTGTTTTCCTCTATATAGTCCATATTTACCTGTATTTATATGTAAAACCGGTGCGGTCGGTTCCCACTCGGAACTGGCGCAGAAACTCGCGGAATCTCTTCTTAATCTGGATCCGTTTCTGTCCTCCTTCATCTCCGCCGGGAGCTTCTCCTCCTCCGAAACTGTCGCTGTAATAAACTCCGGGGTCGTCAAAGCCAGACATGCTGCAGGTAGATCTTTGAAAGCCGAGGAAGAAGAAGGGTTTTTCTTTTCCGAAGCGGACAACAACCGACGGTCACCAAGCCGCACGGATGAAGAGTTTCGCGGGGAAAATAAAGTATCTTCCTGTCTGATTTCCCGCGAACGTCTTTCAGGAGCGCGCTTCTGCTAACTGCTGATTGGTGGAAACAAACAGCAGTTCTTTCTATTGGTCAGGGAAAAATGAAAGCATATAAGCGTCACACATAGGAGGCGGGACTTAACGGGAGTATGGCGCGAAAAGGACAACGGAGGGAGTGGCTATAAGCCAACACATGCTGGGGAAGAAAAAAATGGAGCTCCGAGCAAACTAGTTTTCATTTATATAGTTTGGAAGTTATTCTTGTCTTAAAAAATTTGAAGTATTTACAATATAATATTCTCTGTGTACATTAAACATTTGTAATCATTGTTATGGAATAAGTTAAAACTACACATCAAAGTTTTGAGACTTTTAGAAATGTGGTTTATTTTTCCTTTAAGATAACTGGTTCTGTTTGGTTAGATGCTTAAGTAAAAGTTATTTTATTAAACTGATTTTTTATGTGGCTAATATGGCTCACAGCCCAGGGCAGCATGCAGCATGGGAAGGAAACCCAAATCACATATGCAGCTCAAATGATTCTTTTATATTAAATGTATTAAATATTATTTTATTAATATTTTGCATTTGTCTGGACATGCACCCCGCTGTATAAACCCTTGCTGTCTCAGGAAACAGAATAGTGGAATCTGATTTAAAGCGCTGCATCGGTGTTAAAGGGCAATTTCCTGATTTTTAGAGAAGTTGGAGCAATTTTCACAAAATGATCAGATTACGTCTTTCAAATCTGAATGATTTTGAGATCATAAACTAATGATGAATAAACTTTCAACAAAGTATATAAAAGAAAAGTGGGAATCAGAGCTTTTAGATGAAGATTGGTTAGATATGTGGAAAACACATCAGACATACACCAGTTCACGGATATGGAGGAAGTTCACATGGAAAAATCTAATACGATTTTTCATCACGCCTTAAGTCAAGAATAAATATGGAATTATGGATCAGTGAACACCGACCACTCTCACATATTTTGGAACTAAAATTGTTCAATTTTGGAAAAGTTTACTTATCTTAGCCATAAAGGGTTATAAAGCACAAACATTTCGAGTTTTAAAGAACTTACTGGCTAGAAGCAGCACGGCAGAGAAATTAAAGTATTTAATGTTTTCACTTTCTTGCGCATCAAGATAATAGTGTAGATATCTTGACGAAAACAAATGGTGCACAGTGCCTTAGTTTTCTTAACATTACTTTAAAATTTGGGGCTTCATTAAAGAACATTTTATACTACTCCAGGTCCTCAACAAAGTTTTCAAAGGTATAGAGGAGAATGTTCTTTTTCCAATGATACTGGTGACATGTTTACATAAGGCCGTCCTATGTGCTCGTCCCCATTTTTACTTACCGGTGGTGAGTCTGACATAGTGGAAACATTGCAAATCTTCCTGTGGAAAGTAAGCTTGTATGAGCGATGCAAACAGCAACTTTTTAACATGAGGAGAAATGGGCTCGTGAATGCTCTCGCATATACAGGGTTGTGAATGTTCCTTTCCTTTTTAAAAGTGGAGAGGGTTGATCTTTTCACCCTTTAACAGGTCAGTTTATCCTTGACTTTCCTTTTAAGAGAAGTTTGAAACCTCCATTTAAATTTTCATGCATAATAAACAAAAAACAACCTCCAACCCCCCCAAAAAACAAGTTTTGGTGCCTTTCATAAGTAAAATCTGTAATGGTGGCAACTTGATCCTTTGATATATTTTTCTATAGGGACCTAGACTCAATGTGTTTAAAAATAAAAACTAACGCAGTAAAGTTTCTACAAACAGGATGTTTGACGGATGTCAAAAGGTTTGTAATGTCTGTACGATGTGGTCCTTCATGCAGACGTATTTGATGAGACGCCATCAAATTTTTCTCTACCAAAAAAAACCCCCACAATTCTTTAAGTCCAAAAGCTATGTTTATTGTTTTGGCATAAAAGGATTGAAGAAATCATTATCATAGTAGTTGAGGAAACAATAAACTGGTCAAATATTGCAGCAATCATTCAAAATTACATCCTTAAATCAAAGAGAAACATAATTTCTCTTGTTAGTGCAGGAGCAGTTTATTTCTTAGCCCTTTTGGTCTTCAAATGCAAACATCTACAATCCAGCATCTAAGAAAACAAACTTTCTTTTTCATTGACCTACAAGCGTAAATGTTACTTCCATCTTCATCAGTAACAGGCAGTGTGGCCTTTACAGCCGAGCAGTTAGCTGAAGCTTCCCAGCTCCTCTTCCTCCTCTCAGGATATGACCCCGTGCTTCCGACCAGTCTGGATGAAAGCATCCACGCAGCGGTCGATGTCGTCATCGGTGTGGGCTGCTGAAATCTGAACCCGGATTCTGGCTTTACCCTTCGGCACCACCGGGTAAGAGAAGCCAATCACGTAGATACCTGTGGGAAGGAAGAAGTTTAATCGGATGAGGTCCTGTGAAACGCAGACTCCTGTGGCGTCCTCTGAGTCGTGGCATCTCACCGTGCTTCAGCATGTCATCAGCCATCAGGGAAGCCAGACGCGCGTCACCGAGCATCACGGGACAGATGGGATGGGAGGAGCCTGCAATGGTGAAGCCAGCCTGCGTCATCTTGTTCCGGAACCTGATAGGGAAAAGATGGGGGGAGATTTAGAGCAACAATCACATGTGTTAGAATCGTAAGCTTTGATAGGATTGAACGTTTGAACATCTGGTTTATCCAAAGAGCAAACGAACCTCATGGTTTTTGCTGTCATACTTTGTGCGATCTCGCTGGAGGCGAGCAGCAGCTCCACAGCCCGGGTGGCACAGCCCACCACAGGAGGCGGGAGGGCGTTGGAGAACAGGTAAGGCCGCGAACGCTGCCTGAGGAGGTCAATGAGAGGCTTTGGACCAACGGTGTACCCACCTGAGAGAGGGAGTGACAGAGAGACAGGTTTAACTGAAAGAATGACCAAAACGTTTCCTTAGAACTGAATTTAGACGCTGGCCAAGCACTGCTACCCATATGGTAGACAGGATGAAGAGCATTGTTTATTTTAGTCATACACCTTGAATAATAAAGAAAAGGATCATATGGTCATGGGTGTTATGATACAAAGGAAAAAGTAGCCAGATTCCCACCTCCCTCTTAAAACCGATCCGTGCCGAGCTTGGATCAGTTAACCGTGCCGAGCTTGGTTCCTTACGGCCATTTACACACCACGCTAGAACGGTTCCTCGCCTCAGTGACGATCTACGGTACTACTGCTCTCTAGAGGACATTCAGGAAGTTTTTGGAGAGTCAGGCGAAGAAGGCAGCCTTTAGTGAATTTACTTACCAGAGTCGGCTTATAGGAAGTGGATACGACAAATAATAGTCTAAGCAGAGCTAACAGACGCAGGAAACGACAGATGTTGAGGTTCATCACACTGCTAAACAGAATCATCACTAAAAATCCTATGGCACGGTAGGGAGGCTAGCATTTTTATCAATGTCTGAAATTCATCATTACGGAGGCTGACAGTAAGATGACATGGTCTGCTCACGCGCTCTTGATTTCTGAGAACCGAGCCAGAACTGAACCACGCCGAGCCCTACTGATGAACTATGGCTCTTACGTGTGCCATAAGTTACAGGTAAGTTAATCGATTGTTGACATATGTTAAGTGTAAGTTATTCTAGCTCAGGAGTAACAAATTAAAAATCAGCGCAGTCCGAAGAAAGAAAATCAACAGGAGAGCTGAGAAGTAATGGAGGATGTTGAATGTGGGGGTTAAACTTTCACACCACCTTCTGTGTTCCTCCTAGCAAACGGCGACGATGTTCCCTTTGACTGAAACCAGGGCCTCTTTCAGGAGTTCGTACATAAAAGTCAGGTTAGTGGAGTTATTTTTAGATTCACGTAAACAGATTCAACACAATGAGCTGTGAATCTATGCAGCTCCTCCACAGTTACCAGTTACTCTGATTAATGCCTGCCTGGCTCTCAGCCTGTCAGGTGGACGGCCAAATCTTGACAGATCTGCAGAAGCGTCAAACTCTTTTCAAGTTTGGGTGCTGTTCTGAACGTCAACCAAAACATATTTCCATTGTCGTATGAAACCGTCACTAAAATGTACAGAGGGAGGGTTCTGGTGCTGGACTGGACGTACCTGCTGCTCCTCCCAAGGCTTTTCCCAAAGTGGAGTTCACGATCTGAACTCTGTCCATCACTCCAAGAAGCTCATCTGTTCCTCTGCACATTAGGAGACAGATTTAGTCACATTTCAGGTAGAAACAAAAAAACACCTAAACCTACACTGCAAAAACAATATAAAAATAAGTCAAAATTTCTTAAATTAAGTGTATCCACCCTTAATTTGAGCAGGTAAATGAGATAGTTTGCCAATGGAATGAGTATTTTTACTCTTAAAATAAGATAATTAGATAAAAATGCACTTGAAATAAGACAATGCAATTGTGTTTTCTTATTTTAAGTGTAAATTGTCTTGTTCCATTGGCAAAATGTCTCTTTTACCTCCTCAATTCAAGAACAAATTGACTTATTATAAGAAAAAAACAACTTATCTAGATTTAGAGTTTTTGCAGTGTACTTCTTTTAACTCCTCCCTGCCTGCTTTAGTTCTGTACTGTACCAGCTGTGTGCTTCCCTTGTTATCTGTGTTTCAGATAATTCTAGTTTCCACCATCCCTGAATGTAACAGCAGTGAATAAATTGTTCAGCCAGTGTGCTGAGATGTTGGTCAAGATTCAAGACTCCAGCAATCCGAGGCCCCGCCCACCACGCCAAAACAGGGCCAGAAGTTTAAAGCTGGAAAAAAAAAAAAATCTGCAACTGCAAAAAAGAAAAAACAAAAACTTGGACATGAAAAGTAGTTTAACAAAGTAGTTTAAAACTTTTTTGTCCGGTTTCAAAAAGTTATTTTTTCTCCTAGTTGCAAATTTTTTTTTTTGTTGGTAATTTCAAATTTTGCAGAATCAGAATCAGATTTATGGCCAAGTAAGTTAGCACGTACAAGGAATTTGACTTGGT